AAACCTCTCCAGCGCATCATTAGAGATCTACAACCTATCCTGAAAGATGATCCTTTACTCTCACAGATCTTGGGAGACAGACCTGTCCTTGCTTACAGACAACCCCCCAACCTAAAGCAAATACTCACCAGCAACCACACATCACTGAACAAAAACACTGACCCAGGAACCTATCCTTGTAACAAAGCCCGATGCCAACTCTGTCCACATATCTATTCAAGTGACACCATCATAGGGCCTAATCACATCAGCCATACCATCAGGGGCTCGTTCACCTGCACATCTACCAATGTGATATATGCCATCATGTGCCAGCAATGCCCCTCTGCCATGTACATTGGCCAAACCGGACAGTCTCTACGCAAAAGAATTAATGGACACAAATCTGACATCAGGAATCATAATACTCAAAAACCAGTGGGAGAACACTTTAACCTGTCTGGCCATTCTATGACAGACCTGCGGGTGGCTATCTTAAAACAGAAAAACTTCAAAAACAGACTCCAACGAGAGACTGCTGAGCTGGAATTGATATGCAAACTAGACACAATCAACTCAGGGCTAAATAGGGATTGGGAATGGCTGAGCCATTACAAACATTGAATCTATCTCCCCTTGTAAGTATTCTCACACTTGCTTCTTATCAAACTGTCTGTACTTGGTTACCTTGATTATCACTTCAAAAGTTTTTTTTCTCTTACTTAATTGGCCTCTCAGAGTTGGTAAGACAACTCCCACCTGTTCATGCTCTCTGTATGTGTGTATATATATCTCCTCGATATGTTTCACTCAATATGCATCCGAAGAAGTGGGTTGTAGCCCACGAAAGCTTATGCTCTAATAAATTTGTTAGTCTCTAAGGTGCCACAAGTACTCCTGTTCTTTTTGCGGATACAGACTAACACGGCTGCTACTCTGAAACCTGTCAATATTTTATACAGATGTTTACACTTTATGCAGTACCCAGAGGCTGTGTTGCTTCTGTTTTTTATTTTGGGTTTTTTTTGTTGTACTAAAGTGAAATGTTGAGCGTGCTTGTTTTAAATAAAATGAATAGAGACAATCAGAACAATACAATATCCTTAATTGTAGTGAGAGCTCATTAACTATATTTATGGTTGAGATTTTCAAAAATGCCTAAGTGGCTTAGAAGCACAAGTACTACTGAAAGTCAATGGTACTTGTGCTCCTAAATCATTTAGGTGCCCTTGAAAATTCCACCCTCTTTGCATTATTGTTGTGCCTGGAAACCACAACCAAAATTGGGTTCCCTTTGCACAAGCTGCTGTACAACACACAGAAAGAGACAGTCTTTGCTCTGAAGACCTTACAGTCTAAATAGATAAAAGATGAAACAGGCACAGACAGGTGAAATAACTTGCCCAAAGTCACATAGCCGATCAGTGCAGAGCTGGGAATAGAACCCAGGACTTCTGTCTCCTTGTTGAGTGTCATATCCATTAGACTGTGCTCTCTTTCCAGTGTATTTGTGTCAGTTTGTGCTTGATCAGAATTACAGGGGAGCAACCGATATACATTTTTGTCAAGATACCTATGATAAACACATTTATTGTCCGACACTGTTTATTTCCTCTCTCCCCACCTCCCCCCCAGTTCAAAATGCTCTTAACATTTTAAAAACGACTGTGTCCTTCTGCAGGTCTGAGTGGGCGATTTGTCATAACAGCACTTCCCACTATCTATCAGTAAGTACTCAAAATCCACAGTAATAGAGGAAATGTGGTGATCGTCTTATTAAATGTTGGATTTCTTGGAAAAATGATTGTAGATTATTTGTTTGCTTTATTGAGATAGGCTTTTTAGGACAGAGAGGGGGAAGTCTCAAAGCTCTTTGTAGCATTAATCATAAATTTATAATCACCTAGCCTGACCTCCTGCATAGCATGGGCCACGGAATGTCATCCAATGATTCTTTTGCAGTTAGGCCATACCTTGACCTATCTCTGTAATGGGTGCTTCCATTTTTTAAATTTGTGTCTATTAGCTGGGTTTAATGCTGCCATTGGGTGAAGCACTGGCAAGATTGTCATCTTTCTGTAGTAACACAATATGAGTCTAGCAAAGATCCTATACTCTGCCAGATAAATGATGTTAATTGCTTTAAATTTTTTCTAAGACTCTTGACTTTAAAGTAGGATAAAAGGAATGATTCTACAGAATACAGAAGAAAAATGCCATTGAACAGAAATGAATGGTACATGAATAGATTGTACTATATCAGGAATCCTAAGGTACTCGCCTAACTTTTTACTCTTTGAACAGTTGTAAAGATGGAGAGTTTAGGAGGTACCAGGGCCAAAGAACTAAAAACGACTTCATAAATTTCATCAGTGACCAAGAATGGAAGTCTGTTGAACCAGTTTCTTCTTGGTTTGGTCCTTGCTCTGTCCTGTAAGTATCAGTCTGATTTTATCAGTATCTCTATTATTTTCACTACCAGGCATATGCACATTTGAGGATTCTGTGGAACAAATTATCTGGTGCACCATAGCACTGCTTGGTTCACCTTAGAGCAGTGGTTCCCAAACTTGGTTCGCGACTTGTTCAGGGTAGGCCCCTGGCGGGCCACGAGACGCTTTGTTTACCTGAGCATCCGCAGGTACGGCCACTCGCAGCTCCCAGTGAACCACGGCCACTGGGAGCTGCGAGCGGCCGTACCTGCGGACGCTCAGGTAAACAGAGTGTCTCGTGGCCCGCCAGGGGCTTACCCTGAACAAGCCACGAACCAAGTTTGGGAACCACTGCCTTAGAGGAGTAAATGTAACTTTCTGTCCCCTGTTCAAATGAGGCTGTCTCAGGGTCCGTTATGTTGGTGAGGATAATCTTTGCAGAGTTGAGAATCTGACACTGTATTTTTGTTGCACTCTGTAGATTGTTTTCATAGGCTAATATACTTGTTCTGCACGCTTGAGTGGAGCAGCTAAAAATTTAGAAAGTATATCATTGTGCTAGAGCGCTGGCAGTGTAAAGAACACATGGAGGCAAAGCAGATGCAACCTGTGATGAGTGCAGGCAGGGAACAGTGGGAGAGTGATGTCACCCAATCTCTCAAGAATTGTGCTGTTTGAAATGCTATCTAGCCTTCCAGTGGTTTTGAGGAGCAACTCAGAAGATTGCTTGCTTTTAACTACTGCAATGCTCCTATGTTGTAAATGCTGGAGGTATATTGTTATTTTGGGGGAGGGATGGGGTAGTAGATGGGGAATTGCATAGCAAAATGGCATTCCAGAATCAAGGTTCTGTAATCTGACTTGGATGATCCCATATTCTTATACGCTGTACTAGTTCGACAGTCGTGACACAGTCTAAACAATGATATTTGAGCTCTTCTGTACAAAAATACAAATACTGTGTTCATATTATAGCCTTTCTGCAGTTAGAATAATGTCAGGTTCAGTTGCAGTCCTGCTCAGTGTTTCTGGGCAGTCCCCTTTAGGCCTGAAATCTTTGTCCTCTGGTGGTGTGTGTGTGTTTGTTTTGGAAAGGTCAAGGAAAATTGTGACATCTGTTTTACGAAGGTGTAAGAATACTTCTCCCATTTAAAAGCTATCACTTTGTTCAGAAGTCAAGATACCTGAGCTTTGGAAACTTGGTGTGCAACTAATCTTAATGAAAGAATTGGTCCACAACCAAGTATGACACACACAGGCTACTAATTAAATTAAGGTCAACAGAAAAATGACTACTGCAAGTGTACAATCGATATCTTTAATGTTTGTGCCTTAGTCACTGTGCATGTCTCTTTTCATAAATGCACACTTAAGTACTGAAAGTGGCTTAACTTTTCAACATGTCACCTTTTAGCTTTGCTTTTCCTAAAAAACAAAACACAAATGAAAACCACGCTCTGGGGCTGAATTGAATACTACTTACAGCAGTGCAAAGATAGCATGGTAACAATGAAAGATCAGGAAATGCAAAAACCTAGAATTCCTACACCAATAACTCTGATACTTATATGCAATGTTTTATATTTCTGTGCGTGCATTGTGGCCAAGCTAGCGTTGCTATAGGGACCATAGCTTTTATATACCCTGACTTTTATTGTAACTCTGCAGTCTCAATGTCACATTACGATGCTTTTTGGATCGTATTAGTTACTTGAATACAAACATAATTGGTACTGTATAGGCTATGTTTGCCCTGAGGAACAAAGTCTAGTGCATTAACAAATAAAGAGTTAAAATGCATAGGCCAGCAGGTGCAAGTTCTACGTGGTGTGTGGAATCTGTAGATGTCCTTCAGAAGCTTGCAGAAGAAATATACTCAGGTACCAAATAATGCCCATCTCCTGAGAGGGAGACTATTTCTAGAACCCTGCAAATCTGCAGATATCTGGTTGATATCTGCATTCGCAGATGTGGATTTTTGCAGCTTGAGGATGGAAGTGGATCCAAATTTTATATCTAAAGCCCTGCAAATCTGCGGATATCGGCATCGTATCCACGGATGCGGATATCCGCTGGGCATATTTGTGGATCACGGATCAGATGCGGATACGTATTTTGTATCCGCGCAGAGCTCTAACTATTTCAGAGTAAAGGGGAAAGGAGAAGTGGTTGGAAAGCAGCCTGATATTTTGGGATGGTTGCAAAACCAACGTTGCTCACTGTAGGTCTGATGAATAGCAATCAGAATGGGAGATTCATAGATCTGTGTGCTTCTGATTTGCCTTTAAAAAAAAAAAAATTGCAGTCTCCAGTTTCACTCTCTTCTGATTTATTTCAGGATGAGCAGTATGTCTGCTTTGTTTCAGTTGTCCATGTGGATCAGGGTATGTGTTGCAAGTCTGATTTTTGTTTAACTTGAATAAAGAAAAACTTGGTATTTTGCCATTCTTGAAATGACTAATGTCTGTCTTTCTTTTTAGAATTGCCACAATTATTTTACAGAAAAAGTTGGTATGCCAGTTTGGGGATCATATGCTATTTTTGCATTGGCAACTCTGTTTTCAGGACTGATACTTGGACTTGTAAGTGAAAAAAATTCAGTTATGAGAAACAAAAGCTGTTTTTTATACAGCATGGTGGATAAATGCAATGTAGAAGTTCAGAATTATTGAATGAAAACTTTTTCTTTTCAGATCATGGTATTTTTAGCAGACTGTCTCTGTCCATCCAAAAGGCACAGACCGCAGCAGCACCACTATCAAAGTAAGCATGTTATATGTTTCTAAGGGTTTCATTTTGTTCGAGGAAGCCAGTGAGTAAATCCTCGTTTGATAAAACAGGTATATAATATGAGGCTTATGATTGCTGGCCATGAAACGTTCACTAAAATGTTGACTTTTTGCTGGTCAGTGATATTGCACTTTAACTGTGATTATCTAGTGTCTAGGCTTCATAATAGGATCATGACTGGGGTTAGGAAAGGATATTGTTTACCATAGACTTCAGATGGTGAAAGTAGCTTTTGCAACATTTAGATATTTGGAGGATATTTCCTCCCTCACCCTCTCAATTATTTAATAATTAAATTAATTAAAAGTTTGGGCTTCAACACGCTTCAGTTCAATTCCAGTTTGGAACTGGTAGTCAGATTGAGGACAAAAGAAGACATGCCTCATCTTAAAAGGAGGAGGGGTTTACATCTGTTAACATAATCCAACAGTTCAGTTTAAGATGCTTCACTGGGAGCTATTAAAATGAGGTGTGGTACTAATGGGGATTGGTTAATCAGTGTTATAAAGACACGTGAGGAGAAGGTTCAGCCCCGTGTACCTCTAACTGGTGCTTTTAGGTTCCCTGTCCCAAACCTGAGGGAGTCTTATGCCAGGTTATATTTAATCAGTAATCCAGGAACACAAGTGACATAATTCCTTTGGTGGCAATGAATCTCTTTAGGCATTTTACATTTAATATTGGAATTCCCGACTTCTGCTGGTTTGTGGTTAATATAATTGCTATGTCTAAATCACTGCAGTTAATGTTCATGTGTATGGGAATTCCTAGACAGACCTGTTTGGTGTTGCGCAAACAAATAGGTCTTGAGATGAAAGTACTTTGTTTTCTCTTTAAGAAAAATTAGCACCAGAATCAGCCCGGCTCTTGAAAAAACTGGATGAAGAACAAGAAGCAGATGAGGAGGATCTTTCAGATGATGAAGCAGAGGATAAAGAGTTAGCAGACAGAAACTCTTCAACAAATGCTGTAAGACAGCGTCCTGTGAACCTTGCTGCTGCCACAGATAAATCATAGTTCCATGTACTTGAGGGTTGAGAAACAAAAAGGGTGGAATGTACCAGAACCTTCTGCTTGAAGAGAGGTGGAACTCGTATCGCTGTAGTGTTCGCTCATCACTTTCAGAGAAAGCTACCTTTAAAAAAGTCTCTGTGGCATCAGGTATTCAAAGCTGAAACTTGATATTGCAAATGGCTAAACCCAATACCATATGTGTGTGGATTGGTGCTAAAAAATAGTTTGTATGGCTTTCTGAATGACTCATTCTGTGGTTGAGTTGTACAAAATGCAAAACTGGTGTATTTGCAGTATTAGAGAATATTAGCAAGGAAAATGCACTAACCTGTTTGTCTGCTAGAGCATCTGAAAAGATTTCTCATTGTAAATCTTTCCAGTTTCACTCTGAAGAAATGCTGGAAAAAATTCCTCAAGTTATGGGACCTTAGCCCAATTTTTGTGGTAAAAATGTTCACTGTTCTGTTAGGCATGACATTGAGTGCTGCAAAAAAAATTCTTTACACCAATAATGCAAACTAAGGGTATCCTCTAATAAAAAGTAAGGCGATGAGACTAATATGGGACATTGGAGTCTTAAAAACTGAAGAGTGGCTTGTTAATGCCAGTCATGCATTGGCCTGATATTCAGCATTGCCCTGTTATGAAACTTGAGTCTTCCCTTCTAATGTGGACCATATTACTCTTTCCCCTCTCTTTTTAACCAATTTTCATCCTCTGTGCAGTAGGTAAATCTTATATATCCCAGGCTGGAGGAAAAACTACAAATATGACTTAAAAATATGATTTGAAGAAATTTAATTTCTTGGTGGCTTTTCTCCTTCTGAACTCTTGAGTGGAAAGGTATTTTTCTACTCTTACAGTCAAATAAAAAAATGCTTCATTTTTTTATTTGAATGTATCCTAGATAACTAAAGTATACGAGCATGTGTTATAGGTGAAGAAAGCAGGCTGCCTGATCTTCCACGCTCAAACAGAAATAGCACACTCTCTTCTGTTAAACATTTAGTGTGAAAAACCTCGAGTAAAATAGTTACTCTTGCCAAGTCCTAAGTTGAGACATTTCCAGAGTTTTGTGTTCAGAGCATCTCATTTTCTGCTGTTTTTTTGTGCAGAGGACATTCAGCACTGTATCCCGGCCTAGAGGCACAAGTTTTCTTTTCAAATACCACAGGCCTTGTGGTTGCTTGCCTTCCAGGGCCACTATAATGAAGCTACTGTATTTATTTTCATTTCTGCTTCATTACAGCACGGATAAGTCTAACCTTCTTATTAAAACAAATGGAAAGCTGGTTCTCAGGAGTTAAAGAAATGATTTCCATAGGAATGGTCAGTAATGATCTCTTTTCCATGGTAGTATGCACACTCCATTCCCTGTGCTCTGATCCAGTAAAGGGTTTGCCTGCTTCATATTAGTTTAAGGAACTGTTTGTTTCTTTAGTGATATCTCATGGAAACAGAACTTTTAATAAAACCTAAAAGATAATATGCTATAAAAAAAACTCTTAGAAATAGTCCTAAGCATTTTCTGTGACTATTTAAAGCTTTTGTGGCTTTCAGTTAAGACAGTGATGCTCCATATCAATCTGTTGAAACGAGTAATCTTGACTACAGTGTCTTCTGACTGCATAGTCACCCTACTGTAGTCAAAGCTGAGAACAGCAAAGGCCAGTACCTATAATTATTCAACTGCAAAATGAAGGTCCCTCATGTGCATTGTGAAGCTAATACGAAATCCCTCTCTTGCATTACACAGAAATCTCTTGTCAGTTGCATTGTCTCTTTTTAACAGGAGTAGAAGACTCTTAAATGCCCCAAAGGAGATACACAAGTTCTGAGCTTCTCAATTAAACGTGTAATTCTTCTACTCTGAAAACTGATTTCAAATGGCATCTGGCAATTCCCTGTCTGTCTCAATGACTCCAGCTCAAACTGGCTTAGTTTACAAATAGCGTTTTCTGCCTAAGTGCCAGTTCCATCAGTTCATCCTGCTGTATGGAACTAAAGCTGTCATGATTCAACCGCATCTTATTATGAGCATGGTTGTGTGCCTAGTGTATACTTCAAGGACCATGTCACCCTGAAATTTTTTTAAAATTGACTAATTTACAAAAAGTCCAGTTTCTTAGAGTGCCATTTTAAATGCTATGCCCTGAAATTAATATATATATATCTCCTTATCCTTCTAAGGGTTTTTCTGTTTTTATATATAATATATATATATGTTAATACTGGAATTACGTATTAGCGAGCCAAAGAAAATGAAGATTTCTGTTGCTAACTTCTGAAGTGGTGTTTACAAGTGAAAGATTGCTGTATATAGTAGGTGCAGCATTTTCAAACAAATGTGACTCAGTTCTTGCTGGTCCTCATCGTAGTGAATTTGCGGTGCTAGCAGATAGATTAAACATCTTTGTCATTTGCAAACAGTAAATTTGGTCTGGAGAGGCTCCACTAATGGAAATACTGATGCCATTTTTAATTTTTCACTGCAGATTGGCACTTTGAAGCCAGAAATGTTTTAACAATATTACTAATTACTTCTAGCAGAAACCAACAGAGAACAAGTAGCTATTAATGAATGTCCAAGGGATGTGGAGTAGTTGCATCAAAACAAACTTGCTCAGCATTTGCAAATATTGCTGTTGATTTAATACATTGAAAGTCATAAGGGAGGGACAGCTTAAGTGTCTAAGTCATGTCTTGAGAAGATTTCTTGGCAATAAATAACACAAAATATGCATTTGTGTGTCAGTTAGTCAGATCTTTAATCAACCTGCATACTGTGATTGGAAAACATGAGTCAACTCACCAGATATATTCTGCTGTCAAACAAATCCTCCAGGGAAATTCTCAGATGTACAAGAAAATGATCAGCTATAAAATGTGTCCTAGTACTTCCTATTAGTCTTTTTTGTTTATCTTTGGTGCTGTTGGTTTGATTTATCCTAAGCAAAAATATTTTCCATTCTGTGTTGGCACTTGTGCTGTTACCTTAGTAAAAGTGTAACTACAACAATGTAAATCAATCTGTTTTGGTCAACTTTTTAGTTGAATCTGTTCCTACATTTTAAAATATCAAAATTAGTGTAGTGTGTGAAATGAAGTATATATCCCATATAATACACTTAGGATGTTTTTGTGGGAATTGCCTTAAATGCTATAGAGTCTAGATCACTGTCTGTTATCAGTAAAATAAAGCAATAATGTATGATGTACTAGAAAGAAGCAGCACTTTATTTGATAAGTGGTACACTTCATTCAGCAGTGAAACTTGCACTTAATTTTGGAGAGGATTTGAGAGAAGGCAAAGGAGGCGGATAGAGCTGCATGTTCTCAATATGGAAAAGTGCTTATTCTAGATTTGAAATACAGTTTAACATAGCCTTCTGTATGTCTAAATGTAGCTGCTGCTTACAGATGCAGATGTTAGTTTTAAACAACTACATTTGTATGATATATAAAACATATTCTTGATCTTTTTTTTTGGCCAAGTTACAGCTTTTAAGTGAAGAAAATCAGTGTGTTTTCTTGTTAAAGTGACCACGCTCTAGTGTTTCTCTTGCCAGGGTAACACTTGCATAACTTGTCTTTGATTTTTCCCACCTTTCCGAACACATTCCTGCTCTACAAGCAAATGATTGAACTAGTTCAAAAATTGCCTCTCAGACATAAGGGTAATTTATTCTGAGTTGTGTGAATCCTGATTTAGTGTCGCAGCGCTTGCATTTGTGCTTATTGTTGTTTGTGCAAATGCTGTGTTTAGTGATCATAGGCCAGCGTCATGTGCTTTTGCTCACCTTTGTAAATCTTACTGTCCTACCTTCACAATGCAATGGTTTGTTCTGTGAACATTTCTTCCTTTCATCTGTACCGAATTACTGCATTCCCAAGATTGTTTATCGTGGCTTACTAGCCTCAGTTTGCAATGTAACAAAGGTATGTGAACAAGAACCTGTCCTTTATATCTGTTTGTGTTCATAATGTTTGAATATCAATTTTATAAAAGCCAGGCTACCCTTTTCATTCTATTTGGGATTGATTCCTGTTTTCTTAGTGAATTTTGAACACACATTTTGGGTTAGCTCCATTTTCCAGTGTCAAAGCAAGGCTAAGCAGCCATTGTCAGTGCAAAATAACACTTACATTGTAACAATACAATTAATAAAATAGTTCTGACTGCGTCTGTCTTTTTAAAGGAAAAATGTTGAATGACATTTTAAACTAAAGTGGCAGTGAACATCTTGGGGCTTTTTAAAATCTACAAGGGCATATCTTATTGTTAAGGCTACCATCTGGTCAGGGATATTTTTAGTACAGGTCACAGGCAATAAACAAAAACTAATGGCCCGTAATCTATCCATGACTTATACTAAAACTACCCTTGACTAAATCTTAACTGGGGGAGAGGGGTGCTGATCTGAGGGGGGCTCTAGCGGCCAGCAGCACCAGCTGAGGCTGCTCCTTTCACCGCTGCTCAGGTGATTCCCTAGGGCCACCTGAGCAGCGGCCCCTGTGGCTGGCTCTGGGGCTGCTCCAGCAGCACCGCTGTGGCTGGCTCCGGGGCCAGCTGCTTGGACAGCCCTAAGGTCAGCTCCACCGGCCACTGCAGAAGTGTCAGAAGGTCACGGAATCCATCAGTTCGGCAACCTCTATGACTGATATGGAGCCCTACTTCATATAACATGGCCTGATTATTTAGCGGTAGCTAGATACCTCCCAGGGTGCATGGGAAAGGGCTTACATAATGAGTGTATAGGAATGAGTATAGATCTCAGTATAGAAAGACAGGTTGGACTCAACAGCTGGAAAGCTTGAAGTTTGGCCTCCTTGTTTGACTCTGACTTTTCTACTGGGGCCTAAACTATTAGACTGTGAAACTTCCACAACCAAAGGAATTTTTAGGAATCGTCTTAGTGATTGTCTACAGGCCAGCTACTAACAACTAACTGTTTGCAATAGGCCCTAGTGCAGCGAACTGCCTTAGAGATGGGATTCTTTTAGAATACTTTCAGGCAGGGTCACGTGCACCCCAATGGGTGGGTGTGGCTGGAGAGAAAGACCTCTCTTGCTGCAGTTTAAGCCCATTGCTTCTTGTTCTATCCTTAGAGGCTAAGGTGAACAAGTTTTCTCCCTCCTCCTTATGACACCCTTTTAGATACCTTTTCCGTCCTGCCTTATTTGGTGGAATAGGTCAGGCTGGACTGGATGTAAGCTGCTGTCCGGACTTTCGCCTGCTGGCAAACTGGTTTTCAGTTAGCTTCCCCGTTTTAAAACTTTGTGCAAAGTATGAGGGTATTCTAGCTTAGCCTGCTCCTTTCCTGGGTGGGAGGTGGGGTTGGTTAGTTCCATTGGTCGAACACAAAGGGCAGGTTCGTGCAACTCTTAACAAGAAAGAAGAAATGACCTGTCACTAAAAAGTGGACCGGTAAATACTGTTCATTTTGATTTTAACGTCCCCACCGAGAAGCCGCCGTTAGTGTGTGCCTTAGATAACAGGAAGCTTGCTTAAGGGCAATTACAGTTTCACCATATATCACATTGAAGCACAGCTCTTTGTACAGACATTCAGCAACGGTGTGAACAATGCTGTCCTGCAGTTAAATGGAGAGTAACGGATGCTGAAAGTATGAAACAGGCCAATACTTTCCTTCAGTCTGCCTAAATTGAGTAAATATTCCAAAAATGAAGATTTGCCTCTTGCCTCCACTGTAGCTTTCCCTAATTCGGACTTGTTCCGAGCTGCCACATAGACAAGGTGCCAGTGCTAAGAACCACCTAACCCTCTAAAAAGCAGCTTCCGGTTGCTTGTTTCCACTGTGGCTCCAGCCAGTTTTCAAACGGATTTGAATCTTTGGGACTATTTCCCCAGTTGAGACACGACCTTCAGGTATTTTTGTTGACAAGAAAAAAGTCAAATGCATAAATTATTCACCTTTGAGGATGAGTACCAGGAAAAGAGCATGCGAAACATAGCTTTTAATAACCTCCATAGATGGGGTGATAAATATAGCAATAAGCCACAAATGTATATCCCCCAGCAGGTGGCGTTTATGTACTCAAGAAAGAGAGCCTCATGCACACCTTCTGGTGTGGTTTATTCCTTATTAGCTCCTTCATTTTACATCTTGGTGTTTTTCAAATTCTTTTAAAAGAGCAGTATTTCGGGGGTCAAGGATAGGTAGTCCTCCCCTATTAAAAAAAATAGTCTGTTAAGGACAGCAGACATAAGTAGAGAACAAAATTATAGCATCCTTTTTCTTGCCTCTTTTGTATACAATTATTTTTCCCTACCTTTTTTTGTCTTTTAAAGTTCCTTGTATGTCTTAGGTCTTTCTCCCGCCTTGAAATTTATGTTCTTGTCTTCCCTTTCAGCGGCAGTTTCTGGCATAATACTTACTTTTTATTCCTAAAGCGGGGAGTGTCTGTTTTTATGAGAGTTCAACATGGCCAGAGGGCCACCATCTGCTGTTTAATAGGCATCTGGGCATAGTGTGGGGGAGGGAAACACATTTATTCCCGGATTCAGCAAAGGATTTAAGCATATACTTAATTTCAAGCATGTGCTTGACTTGAATGGGATTAGTCAGCTGCTTAAGTGCTTTGCTGGAATGGTGACATAGAAGGGTCCCTAGTGTGGTTGAGGATGAGGCTGGGCTGGGCTGCCTGGGGAAACTGTAGTATCCCTTTGACGGGAAACCATAAGTAAGTCAGTGGTTGTTGCAGACATGGGGCAGGTTTAATTACACCTTGAATTTGGAGATAGAGGTTCAGGGTGCTCAATTTGTTTGTTAGTAAGGGTAACTATTTGAAGGACAGCAGCTGCCTGCTAGAAAGAGGCACCTGGCCCCGGGAGGTTGCGGAAAAGGGGTTTGCCGGTTTAGCAGCTGATCCTGTGACAACTATTGAAATGGTCCAGTAGAGAGACGGAAGATTAAGAGAGAAGGTGTCTCAGTTGACTTCAATGGGCTTTGGATCAAGTTCCTGTTGAGTCAATGAGAGCCTTGCTGTGAGTTTGTGACCAGGCGTGACCTCAGGAAGGCCCAACCAGAATGTGGCTGTGGACAATCGCTTTCATTTGCCAGCCTCTCCTATATCTGAGCATCGTGCCACTTGGTCATTTGTCAAGTTAGACTGAGCCGAAGGCCTTTAGCCACACACGCTCCCTTGGGTTAGCCCTTTTGTTGGTAGTGTCTCCAAGCAGCCATGGATTGAAAATGTCTAAAGACTGATGGACCTTTTTGCCTCTATGCATGGTCCTTCCAAGTCAGGGCTGAGGGGGAACCTGCATGGTGGCTGCCTGCTCTATGAATAAATATGTCTTCAGTCGCCAGAACCATCACGCCTGTGCATATGAACCAACACAACCATGTCCATGGCAGGGGATCCACGCCAAGGGGGAGGACCTCCTTACTGCATAATCCCTGTCTTCCTGTGCAGGTGGTGGGGGTGTCCTTGGTGTGTTGGAGGCTGGCCCCGGCTGATATCACCAGGATAAGAGACCTCTGGACTATGGCCGGTAATACTGGGTCAACCATGGGGTGCACACACTTCGTGTCTCCTGCTGCGTGCTCTAGGAGATAGAGGCTGGGCAGCCTCTCTTCTGTGCCTTGAGCAGGTCCTGTGAAACGGGTGTTCTCCACCTTCCCGTAGCCACTGGCCTTCAGAACTCAACATCAGGCTCCTACCTCACAACCACCTTGCTGGCTGCCCCCAGCATATCGCCCAGCCAGGTTGAATGCCATCCAGCTGGCCTGCTTCAGAGTCACACCCCAGGAACATCTCTATGTGTCTGCTCTCCACGGCGTGCACTTCCTTGCTCTCATGTCCCGCCCTGATACTAAATGGCAGGACATCTTTCCATCTAGCAAGGGTGAGCCTTCCTGCAGCTCTGGTCCTGTGGCCTGCTGTGGTTATCAGCTGGTGGCTCTTGCACAGGGCTGTTAGCATGGGTGTGTGGCAGGCACCGTTCACGGAAATCTCTGATGCCTTCCTCTGCTGTGGTGAGAGGGAGACCCTGGTCTACCTGCAGAGTGCCACGTTGCAGCCCCTCTTTCAGCTCCTCCAGGCTGAGTGAGGTTCTGGCCATGCTTTCCCCCACAACTGTTCCTGTCTACATGCCCCATCTGCGGCTCCACAAAGGCGCGAAACCTCCTTGTCAGGCTCTTCCGAGCTCTGGCCATCCATCAGTCCAGGAGGAGGAAGCTGGATGGGGAGGTTCTCTGTGACTGTGGGGCCTTTTTCCATTCCCTGGCCACTTCATGCATCCAGGCCAAGATCCTCTGAGCACGGTTCACTGACTCCTAGGACTCCTTCATGGAGGATTAGGGGTCTGGAGTTCTCTACTTGGTGTCCCCATCTGGTGCCTTGTTTCACACTGCTCACAGCCTCTTAGAATTCCGTGCATGTGAATCATACATGATCGTAAGGTACACCCTTAAAACGATGCCAGTTTCTAAAATATTTTTGAGCATTTGGGGAAAATAAACTGATTACATCTTTTAGTGGGGTTGGGGTTTTTTTTTTTTTTTTGTTTTTTTTTTGGAAGCTTCATTTTGAAAGGTAGAATATGCCTTCTAAATCAGGAAGATTTAAAAAATGCAGAATGAATCATTTTCCTTAGTAAATCATTATTCCACAGTTATAATTGTGTTGGTAGTTAGTGGCAATACTTGGCTTCTGCTTCTTCAAGATCTAACAGTGTGATATTTTGGGGGCTCTTATGCATGTCACACTCAGCAGAGGCCTCAAAGCCCCTTGATCCTGCCATGTATTATAATTCCTCTCTATGCTTCTGTATAATTTTGCATCTTGTTTGGGGGGAATTGTAAGTAAATGGGTGCTTGGATACTATAGAGACTGATGCCATATAAATACTTGAGATATAGGCAAATGAAGGGAGGAGATACACGTGTACTCCATCCCTTCTGCAAGTGGCATCCTGTAGCCCTCTAATTTTAGCCACAGGCAAATTTAAATGCTGTGTCTGCAAATGTAGACGTCGCCTTCTGGGCTAGGCATGGAGTTATTTACCCTTCACGTGCAGTGGGATTGCTGTGGTCGCCACAGCTACATGCGGGAGAGAGTTTTTACCCGATTAACGTCATCGCGTTGGGTTTGTTTTGGGGCAGCTGCACTGAAGCCCTGCTATTAACACTGCTGCCATAAATCA